AATTTTAGTGTCAAAAATTAAATTAAACTAATCATAAAACTACAAGTGTCATTTGAGGTGCTAGTAGATTTTACCCTTACTTATTCTTCTCCATTTGATTTGAGGTGACTGTGTGAATGATTGTTAAGTATTATAAAAAAAAAAAAAACCAAAAGCGTGGTAACATAAGGAGATTGGTTCCCTTGTGCACGGGGTTCAAACTCTTTTGGTACAGAGGTTATTCTTTAAATCGGAATATCCAAATATTTCATCTGAATACCGAAAAGATTATGAATCAAAAAGTTCGGAACTCCTACGACTTATAAAAAAAACTTTGTCGCAAGACATGTACCTAATGGTTAGTGCTGTTTGACAAACAAAACAACATGGTTTCAGAGTTTCCATTAACCAGACCTATGTTTTTTCCTCCTATATTGAAACTGCAAAATAAAAGTTACAAGGGTTTATCAACTTCAATATGATTGATAGGATATCCAATTTAATTTGGCACTAAATAATACACCTTAGAGAAATCATTAATAAATGAAAAAGCTTCATTCGATACTCCATTTCCTCCCAAAGATAAGACTCCAACTTGACATCTTCAAAGTGAGATAATAAACGTTTAATATCTTGCAAGCCCGGATTAAGCATTGGCCGTAGCTCTTCACCAGTAAGCATATTATACTAAGCTCTTTGGAATAAGATTCAAAAATAGTGTTCTAGTATCCAAAAGTTGAGATTCAAAGAAGTGCCCACCTCAATGCTTTCACTTTTGTCTCAATCATCACGTTCTCTGCCTCAGCTGTAGTTTAGCTCTCAACCACAGCATTTTCCTCTCATGATTCTTTCGAACTCACCCAAATCCACACTGGCCTACAAATGCGATTTATAGGCACCATGATTGATATCCAACAACCAACGTCAACCAAATTTGTGGACTTAACGTCGTAGGGACTAGTGGACAAGAATGTTTTGTTTATTAATTTCGACCTTTTGGAAGTTTACCTGGCACCACAAATATATAATATATTTGAAATATATCAATATTAAATTACTTCCACAATAGAGAAGATGGACCAAGGATTTATTTTGGTCTATGTAAATAAAAATGGATATAAATAAGTCCACTGTTGCTTCACTTGCGTTTATGATTGTCTTGTTATAGTATAGTTTGTTGTCTTTATTCATTACCTATTCTCTGTAGTTTCCTTTATTCACCTTCTTCTTTAGATTTAAAACATCTTGTATTTTAAATGATGCCTCTCTTTTGGAGGGGAAGAAAACGATGACTAAAGGATGAAACTTAAAAAATTTTCTTTGATCCAATGACACATTATTTTGTGAGACCCTAGCCGTCAAAAAGAAAAAGAAAGAAAAAGGTGTTTTGAGTTTTCTCTCTCTCCGATGTCCGATATTTTTACCGGCTTCGTGAGAGGAAGATGCGTGTAACCTAATAGAATTTTTATGTTCGACATGAAGTTGAAAGGATGTCCATGAGATTTTTTTTTTGGAAGATGATGCGATGTTCTTCTCCGTCTGGTTTTTTTAAGTAGTTTGTGATTCCCTTTATTGGGTATAGTTTGTGATTCTTTCACTGGTTTAGTTTTTATGGGTGAAGATTTTGGTTGAGGTTTTTTCTTCGTAAAAGATTTATAGTTTGCTAGTATCTAGTATAGTCAATTCTGGCTATATATATGATTTAAGTTTTGTAGTTCAAAGTTGTTCAACGGTGGCTTCACTGAAACTAACTCGGAACAAAATTGACAAAAACAATCAAGGAAAGAGATTAATCTAAATTTAAAGAATTGTTATCATATTATCGTAATAGATATTGGAAGTCTGGCTGCTACTGTGGATTCGGAAACACCTAATCATCTATATTCGGTTCGAAACAAGATCATCTTCATATCGATAATGTGTCGTCAACGATTATTGTCCTCACTTGATTTCTGGTGTGGAAAGGACCATTAATTTCTCTTTGTATCGTATTTGTTGAATTTCTTTGTTGATGTAATCTGTTTTAAATCAGTTTTAATAAAACAAAGTGTTAAAAAAAAGGATGAAACTTAAAAAACAATGGATATAAATAAGTTTTAAATATATTTATACACGTGATTCAAATATTGTGGAACACATTAATCAGTTCGGTAACAATCTTTTATTGATGTTAAATTTATCAATCAACAAAACAAAAATTATACACAAAAATTACACAAAATAGAAAAATTTGAGAGTCAATTCTCCTTTGAAACTATCATATATCATCATATCTACATAAATTTTTTTTCTAAAAT